GAAGCTTCACGTCATAATCCTAGGGGCAGATGGCAGTTCCAGGCTGGTGACCACAACCTCCCACAGTCTGAAACACTGTGCACGGTCATAAGGATCGGTAAGGACTCACGTCTCTGGTCTTGAGGACTTTCCGGCAGAGCTGAGAATGCGCCTAGGTTCACGGGGAATGACTACCCCCGCGCAAATCCGCAGAATCGTCGAAGGGATCGGTATGAATGTGGTCCCTGAAGTCGACCGCCGTCGGGAGGAGAGGTTCACCTGTCGTGTTTGGTTTAGGGAAGCCATACGTCGCCTCGTTGAGAATAACATTCTTCATTGTCTGGATGTTGATGCATTGGAAGCTGAGCTCATATCGTTGTCGAGCCCTAGTGCAGAGGGTGTCCTAGCAGGGACCGGAAAATATACTATACATATTGCTGCAAGCTGCTTTTGAGCCTACAAAGCTTGTACGTTCTGCTGTGTCCTCTAGTTCACGTTCACGAGGCCGAAAGCCGTACTTATCTTCTGGTGTGCCATGTATCTACGCATTTGGTCTTGTAGCGACGGAGTATCACGTACCCTTAGGGCGAGACACAGCCCGCAGCCTTCGCGGAACAGTGTTTTCTTCTACAATTGTTTTAGAAGTACGAGTCCTTACTTGAAGCACGAAAACAGTATCTTGAAATGAACCCACAACGTTGAGAATATCGCGTACTATGCCGTCAGTAGCCTTAATACCATCTCTGCCGGTGCAAGGTTTTGATCGAGCATCACGTTTCACCGAGTGAAAACTCGTGTATGCACAGTCACACACGTCTTACCCAAGTCTTTCTGGCAAAGAGCAGTCAGAAACGGATCTGTTCCAAGCCGATGAAGTCAAACGCATATATTAGCCCGGTAACCTCTCACATACCCTGAGGACGGGCCACGCGATGATGCTTACGTGTGGAAATGTAGCCATGTTCCGCGAGGGCCGATGATCCCTCAAGGAGATGGGAGAACGATGACGTGGTCGGCGGTGATGGAGAGTAAAATGCGGACAGAAGCTTTTCTCAAACTTTCGTCTGCGCTCCTAACGGAGGTCAGACGGATTTGTGTATATGCGCCCGAGGTCCACAACATCGGTTAGTCTGAAGAAAACATTGCAACAGATGGCAGAACGATCGGATTTGTGGGGAACGAGGTCGAAGGCCGGGTACATTCTGGAATATTTACAATGCCCAAGCGTCAGGCTACTCTGTCGTATTTTCGTTACTGTTCCTGCACAACGTGATCATCTCTCCGGTGAGGACTGTTACACGCTTGCGCGTAAGTGTGTCAACGAGTTCCGCACAACGTCAATTGCTCCGATGATCTCCAATCTCATTCACCCAGTCATCTGGTATCTCTCGTTATTCCTGTATACAACCAATACCCTGGGCGCAACGGGCTTACCCAAACATTCGCTAGGGACTCTCGTCATCAGGCTGTAAAGTGACGCAGGATCTCAAAGCTTTGCGTTGATCTGTTATGTGTTCGCACGGAGTCATTATCATTTTCCTTATACTATATGCGAGCGCGTCAGCAAGCAGACGAGTGAACAGATGTTCAAAGAGCTAAACTGCTGCCTGCTAGCGAGAGTGAAAAGTGTAATCGATTGAGGCAATAAATAGGTACGTTCAAAATTGCCGCTTATATTTCGCTGGAAAACAAGCGACTTTTCGCTGCTTTTGAGCGCCCAAATGTGGCTGAAGGTCGCTGAAACGTCGCTGAAAGTGTCACAGATGACTAAGCGTGATGCAGCCGTGATCTGATCACGTTCTCGGCTTGCGAAGGGCTGACCAGCCAATCAGGATGGTGAATCATGTAAGCGTGACATGGCTGTAAGCCAGAATCTGCGAGCGCTTGCGCCGAGCAGTCGCTTATTTGTCGCTGTTCGAGGAGGGAGGGGAGCTCAGATTCTGCTCGCTGCTTTTGGACCCTTAAACGCCGCTTGTTTCCAGCGAGATTTAAGCGGCAATTTTGAATGTACCTAATTTAGTCTGAGTCCTGGGAACAGCTTGCCTCAGGGTGCAGTACTTCAATCGTCGCCTCATTTGTCCTGTGTGCTGGATCTCATCGAGTGCGACTTCCGGAGACCTCCGTCCGGAGCCATTGATCCGAGGCAAGCGATCAAATCGCGATACTGCGTAGCGCTTGCAATTGTGGCGTAGCCTATGGATTACACACCATTTGGTGTGCAATAAATTGGAGGCTGAACATCACAGTCCACTAAACTCTCGCAATCTGGGTCTCATGTAAACCACTAGCTTTCTCTCACAGCATCACCGACTTATCCGTGCGGAATACTTGCAGCAACTCCGCTTCACGAAATTTGAGAATGTGGTTCTCGCTTGTGTCTGCGCTCCTGCGGTGTCTGTTCCATTGCACTAAACCGTGGTTGATAGAAGTGGTTTTGAGAGGCGTGACGAGTGTCTTCTTCTAGCGGAGGTCTGCTGAATGCTTTGCCATTTGGGATATACAGTGATCCGGTCCACGAAACGTCTGTTGGTCTATGCGGAGTTGGACACACGATCCTATCTTTGGTGTACTTCTGAAATGATATGGCGCTCTAGACTCCTGAAGTGCCTCAAAGCTCAGTTAGGCTGTGGTAATCACCTGATTCATTTGCGACCATCGGTACTCTTTCGAGCGTGTTGACGACAGCCCCTCTGATGATCTTCGCGCACGGCGGCACACGCAGACCATATCGGACAATTTGGTGAGTACCTTCCGCTGCCGAATTATTTCACCGAGATGCAGCCACTATTGTTCTAGCCACATTCATCACTACTCGAGCAAGAGATACAGCCAAAGGATCGAGAGCGATAAAATCAGTGTGTAATCCCTGTTGGCTTCCGTGATGTCCACACCAATGTGGGTCTTTTAGAAGCCATATCGGCGCCGTCCTGTATGAACAGCCTCGCCTGGATTTGTCAATCGCAGATCCGGCCAGAAGAAAGTCAGCCGGTGCAGAAGACATACAGCCAAGCCTAGTATCCTGTTATGAGCGCATACCCTGAGGATTGGATCGGCAGACTATGCCGTGGATGCCTTCGCATGGGCACGCTGCAGCCCCTCCCTTGAGATTCCTTTTTGAGAAATAGAAGGATGATGGCGGAGTCGAGTTGCTGTAGCAAAACACACGTGTAGCAGCTTCTTCCACGTGTATTATCATGTCCCACTGGTGGATAGATGACGACGTGTGCTCGTCGCCCATCGGACCTCGGGTGAACCTGAAGGCGAAGCCGAGATTAATTTCGGCGAACTCGAGTCTCTTGCGTGCGTGGCCGAGGTCCGGGCGTCTTTGGCTTCAGCTGCAAAAAGTGCTGCACACACTCAGTGAAGTCGCTAGCTGAATATCAGGGAGAGGCAACAAATCTGGACACAGCCGCGCAGTTAGATGGCCGAGCGCAAGATGTTCTGACAGATAGGAGCGTGAATAGTTACGCCGCATGTGTCGTCGGAAGACGAGCATATGTGATCGCTCAGCAGGCGATTGACTTGGTCACGACGCAGCGCATACTTTGCGAGTTGCGTTGAAATGTAAATTATGAGGTTTCTCTGCGGCTGTAGTGAGAGACCAAGCACGAGCGCAAACAAGCATCCAGGACACCCAATAAGCAGAAATCGAAATGGTATAGTGGGAGCATGATAGCTATCGCAAACGTTGGGCATGCACAGACGACGGATGAGGGTTAAGTGGAAGCGGGCTCACTGGGATATTCGACAGTGGAACGCACGGCGATGGGCACGCGACGGGCGCGGCCCCGACCAAAGTGTCTAACATTTGTCGAGTGTCCTAGGTCGCAGGGAATATCGACACATACCAAGCTTAGGCACGACTTACACGACCACGTTGACCGAGATCTTTGAGCTCCTGAAAAGACAACGAGGCACACACCGCAAGATTGCTCTAAAGTCCTATACTTCCATCCAGCAGATGCGACATCGCTTGCGGCTGATGCTGGTGAAGGTGACGCAGGCTCCATGCTCACAATGCTGGGTATCCTATGGCGTGGATTGGGCGGCCTAGCCGAGACGCGTGAGCACAACATGCGTGATATATCATAAAACATTTGAGACAGGAGATGAATCGTCATGTCCAGAGCTTCCCCCGTCCTGAAAGAATTGTCAAGACCAATCCATAATTGAATGAATGGGAAGACTTACCACTAGGGTGCATCAACCACGCCACGGGTCCGTGACCATCCATATCTCATGTTCCACCTCAAGCTCAACGCGATAGTCAGGAAAGATGCCAGTAAACAAGTCACACCACTCTTTATACCTGGGATACCTCATAAAGAGAGCCGTCGTGTACTCCCAGTACTCGGGCATCCACCCTGCACACTCCCAATCGATGAGGGCGACTGGTCGCATGTCTTCATCGAGCAGTATGTTCGTGGGCGTGATATCGCCGTGCGTGAAACAAATTTTGTGCGACTTCGAGTGACTGGGGGCGGCGATCTCGGTGTGAGTCGCCTCGTTATACTTCAGCAGCCTCTTGTTAAATTCCTTCTCTGAGGCGAAGGGCCCCACGCAGCCATTATTGGTGATGCGGAAGCTGCTGACGCCATTACCGCCGAAGCCGCACACCGCGTGCGGGTCCGGGGGCTCGAGAGCTCTGAGCTGGTCGAACCAGCCGCGTAGCGTGTCCTGGAGAACTTGGAGCTGACGGGGCGAGAGGTCACTGATGTGGCCTGCGCGCTTCTCTAGCTCCTCGCCAGGTACCTTCGTCATCAGTACGAGGGACCGGTCGTAGTAAGGGACAATGTCGAGGATTCTAGGGACAGGGATCGTCGTGTGCAGGCGTACATATTCGGTGGCCAGGGCTTCTTGTGCTTCAGTGTTCTTCAGATAGAGGCCGAATGGCAGAGGCATGACGCGCGAAAAGGGACCCCCGTAACCTCGCCAACGCAAGAAGTCCCATATGAATGAATATATCCTACAACGCAGGCGTTGTAGAAGTGGAATTTGCACTAGAGACGAGATATAACTGAGGTAGAGAGAGAATTAAAAGATGGGAATGTTATAATGACTCCGTCAAGACTCACCTCATCGTTCGAGGCGTCGAACTTAGGTATGAAGTCAAACTTCAAGGCGGTCTCGGACAGAAGTTTACGCAGACCAGTGGTTTCCCCAGTTTCAACGACCAGAATGGGTCAGCCGCAGCGAGAGGTCACTTGATGACCACAGCGGGAACCGTCCACTCAAATCGTTAGTATTTGGAGCAAAGGCTGCTGTAAGATCGGCTTGAAGCACACGGCGATTGCCGGAAGCGCCCACGGGCGCGGTTGGATTCGCAAGGCCGTTGGCCGTAGACCACGCGTAGCTTCGTACATCGATTTCTCACTGGGAGTCACCCTTGTCTCAAATCCGCACGATCGCTGAAAGGGTTTGATCTCCCAATACTGTCTCTCTCGGACCGGGCTGAAGATGTTCGCAACTAGATCAGGATCCTTGTGTGAGGGTGGTGTGTCGCTGGCTGAGAAGCAGGTGAGCGTCATGAGCTGCAATAGCATGAGAGCCGAGGCCGTAAGCGGACTTGGTCGTGCAGACATCCGTCTGCGGTGGACTCAATTGAGCCATTGTACCCATCGGGCTATGCTTTGCGGTCGATTCCTTTGATATGGTAGCATACGAGACCATGAATTTCATTCCCAGTCTGGATGTAAGTTCATTAATTTCCATGCGCATCCCGGTTGCTGGCCGGTGACATCCGAATGAGTGCTATGCTTGAGAATAGCTGGCAGCGAAACGACTACAGCTCTGGTACTGCGCTTGGTGCCATCGCTGGGATAGGCATGTAGGTAGGGCGACATGCTGCTACTGAGTGATGTTCCTTTACAACGACAGTGGAATCGGAACTGAAACCTACCTGAGGAACAGGATCTCCCACGATACCGTACATCTCGGCGGCCAGTCGTATGTGTGGTACTACCCACAAATCCGGTCATTTGATACCAAGAATGCTGCTGCGAAGACCCTCTGGTGGGAAACTGTATTTGTTTTCACCGCTCAATTCAATCTGATAGACGCTGTCAGGTCAGAGCTTCTGGCCGCCCAAGATCGAGAAAAAATTAGTCGTCAGGAGCAGGACTTCAGATATGTGGGCGCGCGCGCTGGAGGTTCTTTGGCAAACAGGACCAATGGTGTGATCGAACGCGTCTTCATATAAAGCGGGACCGCCGCCCCAACCTGGGTCACAGCCAATCTCCTCGCACCCGCTGTGTGCAACTACCGACAAGCACTAAGGTGCGCACGAACTCAGCGTGCAGCACTTCGACCATGTAACTGACGACCTGATCTCATAAAGCACCCATGGCCGAACCAGCACCTGACAGCGACGCTATATTGGCCGCTCTATTTCTTCGTCCTGACGGCAGGTCTTTCCACTGGATGATAATGCTCCCTGGCGCCGGTGCTGGCGGTAAGGGGAGCGCTAAGCGCTTGCATGCCATGTGGACCGACAGAGAGGGCTGGTTTTTTGAAACCCGCGATCACAATCTCCAGGAGTCTCGTAGTTTGTGCACGATTGTTAAGATCGGTCAGTACTCTACCTCCCCGTGCAGCCAGGATCTCTGTTAGACCTGAGATGACGTTTAGGTTCTCGTCGGACGTCTGGTACCCGCACCTTTACCACTACAGAGGTCAGCGACCTCCTCAAGGCGATTGACATGGAGACCCCCGGGTTTGAGCTTGCCATGGGGATTCGGTTTGACTGTCGCGTATGGTTTAGACAGGCCGTACGCGTTCTCATACAGCATGGCATGGTATGGTGCGACCGCATAATTGATTTAGAGGCTGAGCTCCTGAGACTCGCGACCGCCAAGGCTGAGGGTCGCAGAGACGCACGCATCTACAATGTTTCGACGAATTGTAATTGGTTCGAGAAACGTTTTCCTCCTCCTCCCATCTAATTATCCTTCGTTTACACTTCCAGCTTCATCTTCAGTGTCCCGGTGTACTATGTATAAATAGTTGAAACAATTCGCTGCTGAGTGCCCATTTTGCCTAGCGATGTCGGACTGTCCAGCCCCACAACGAAGTATGGTCCACAGACCTTGCGGCACCGTACTCCTGACTGTTTACGATATCCACTCGATATGACTGTTGGTAATAACTGCAACTGCGACAACGCCCACGTTTGCTGCGCATCCAAAGCTTGTAGCGACGACTGCACTGATGAGGGTTTCTTAAGCCACCGAAGGATTCTTGAGCTAATCTTAAGTTTGTGCCAGATTCCGATTCGCGTGTGGGCAATTACGTATTTAAAGGTTGCTTTGCTCAAATCCGGTGGCTCGGGGCCGATCCAAGTTCAGCCACATCTGCGCGCTTCCAAAGCAGCGCTTCTTTCTCAACGTGAATCGGCGAGTCAGACGCCGTGAGCGCTGTGTGCTTTCACAACCAGCGCTGACCAATGTCGCCCAGACATTCAGGACAAAGGTATCAAGAACAACGAGGGCAAACCTATCGCAGGCGGCCATTTCTTCCGGAAGTACCTTCTGAACTGCCGCCAAGAAGGCTTCGAGCGTGCATGGGTCGCGAAGGAGGCAATGGCAGCTGCTGCCTGTAGCCGTGACGAATGCAGCTAAGACCGGACTGCCAAGGCGGCTGCCGATACAGACCCCAACTCCGATGAGAGTGCCCTGTATCTATCCAGAAGAGTACTACACTGCATAGAAGGCAAGTGTCGTGGTCTCCGCATCATCAAGTCCATCAGCGGACTGACAGCCAGTCTTTACCGTCAACTGCGTTCCACCTGGCCGCACAAGAAGCGATTGTCCTCATGAGTGCTCACGTCAAATGGTATCGTGCTATAATCCTGGGCTCTTGTTCCGTCGTGGCGAGTGCAGTGCGTCACGCACTTCATCCTCAAGTGACTGAATCCTTGATCGGAATCCTTGATGGCTTGTAGGGTTGGATGATACTCGACGGCTTCGAACGCAGTTGCAATGTCATATCTACTTTCCGGCAGAATTACCTGGCTACTGACATGGAGTCGACGGGCGTATGGCACATTGTTGGTCAGAATGTCGCCGAGTCAACGCGATCAACCGGAGGGACAGGATGGGCAAGAGTCTAAGGATGAACCATGGTAGAATGCTGGCTAGTGTCAGTCGATGTCTGGGCGGCTGCGCGGGCGGCTCCTTGACCTCGGGGGATGCGTCTTCATGGGAGCCGTCGCGCTCGAAGAACGAGGACATGGTGCACACGGACACAGTGCAGGTTGCAGTGGCGGCTCTGGTCAGGGGAAATCCTTGAAGCGGACGCATCCCCCAACACCGAATTCATACTTAACCGCACTGGCTCATGCAACTACTACATATCTACGACTTGCACCTGAGCAAGAGCTTCGTTTCACTGCATCCTCCATTTCCATTCACAATTCCACTCTAAAAGATACTGTGTGTATATAGTCGAAACAACGTGTTACCATCTTGCATTCCATTCGGGCAGCGACGTCTTACTGGACAAAGTTACACCCGCAAATCTTGAACGCTCCGTGGGTTGCTCACTCCCATGACTGATTTGATTACAATCGTGAGCTCAAACGTAACGCCCTCAGCATCCCGCACAGAGCCGGTGGCAAGAAGATCCGCACAAAAGCACGCAGGAAGATATACAGCCCAGTATCTTGCTTCGCGCCCGACATATGGACACATGTCATGAGCAGTAGTGTTGTTCAGGGCCCGGCTCAGGCCCAAAGCCCTACTTTGGGCCGCACTTTTGACCACCGGGCCTGGCTTCATAGTCAATGCAGGCCTGGATACTAGGCTCTGTGGCCTCTTGGAGCTAGGACTTGGGTTGAGCTATATGTGCCTCAGCCAAGCAAAGTTCGGCGGGCTTGGGCCTCAAAGCCCGATTGTGAACATCACTTATGAGCAGCTGTCAAGGACCCTGGATCAACCTGACATTCACGCCGGATATGGATTGATGTATGAATGTATGAACAATCGCGCATACCTATCCCCAATTCGTTTAGTGCGGAGCTGGTCAGAAGAAGATCTACGTCAGGCTGATGAAGACAAACGCATAGCCAAACCTGGTGACTTTCTTCATACCCTGAGGACGGGCCACGTGGCGAGTTTAAGTGTGAGCATGAGGCATGTAGCCCTTGTTCTGCGAGGGCAGAGGATTCATCAAGGAGATGGGAGAACGATGACGTGGTCGGCGGTGATGGAGGGTAAAATGCGGAAGGAAGCCTCTCATGAGCTTCCGTTTGCGCTCCTGGCGGAGGTCGGACGCATTTATGTGTTCAAGAGTTCGGCGAATCTCAAGAGGACATGCGACAGATGGCAGACGGACCAGACTTTGGGGAATTTACGATGCCTATGCGTCAGGCTACTCTATCAGTCTCGTGTTACTATCGATGCTATATCTGCGCAACGTAACAGTCTCTCTCCAATGTCGACATTTTGCGTCAATTAGTGTGATAATTTCCTGTCTTACTCGCCTGGATGTTAGGTACCGCTCGTTGTTCCTGAGTATAAACGATGCCCTGTGCGCCGAGCGCTTGTCCAATCGTTCGCTAGGAACTCTCGTCACCACGCTGAAGATACGCCACGTGAGATGTCATATCACTGCAGCCGTATACGATATTTTGCGCGGTCGTTTCGAAAATAGCAATTGCAGCGACAAGCAGACATAGCTGTAAGGAGAGCTTCGAATCAAAACGGGCATGATTCGCCATAGCCTGAGAGACATGTCATCGATGACTGACTTTATGACTCTAGAAGTGATGCAGGTTCAAACGTTCATGCAGAGATATTATCATGCACCTTGTGCTACATACGGGCGCGTTAGCCGGCAGACGAGTCAAAGAACTGAACCGCTGCTTGCTCCCGCGATCATGATGCCGGGAATGCGAGGGTGAACAACGGAATCAATTGAAGCAAATGGATTTAGTCTGAGAACAGCTTGTTCCAGGGTTCAGTACTCCAGTCGTCGCCTCATGTGTCCTGTGTGCTACATAGATCTCACCGAAAATCGGACTTCCGGAGACCTCCGTCAGGAACCATTGATCCAGAGCAAGCGATCAAATCGCGATCCTGCGCTCGCAATTGTGGTGTAACCTAATGATTACGCACCATTTAGAGTGCAATGAACTGGGGGACCGAATGTCACAGCCACACTCTTGGTCTCATGTAGACTACCAGATTTCTCTGACAGCATCATCGACTTATTTGGTCCGAATATTTGCAGCAACTCCACCTCATGAAATTCGAAGATGTGGTTCTCGCTTGTGTCTGTGCTGCTGCGGTGTCTATTCCATGAGACTAGACGTTAGTTGATAGAAGCGTCTCCGAGAGGCACAAGATACTGGCATCATGGTTTTGACAGGAGTGACGAGCGTCTTCTGCCAACGGAGGTCTGCTGAATGCTTCGGGATATACAGTGATCCGATCCACGAATAATCTGTCGGTCTGTCCGGAGCTGGACACACATTCCTACCTTTCGTATACTTTTCAAACGACATGGTGCTCTAGACTCCTGAAGTGCCTCAATACTCAGTTAGGCTGCATGGTAATCACTTGTCTCATTTGCGGCCATCAATACTCTTTCGAGCGTGCTGACGGCAGCCTCTCTGATGATCTTCGAGCATGGCGGCACACGCAGACCATATCGGACAATTTGGTAAGTACCTTCCGCCGCCGAATCATCTCGCCGAGATGCAGCCATTATTGTTCTAGCCGCATTCATTACCACTCGAGTGAGAGATACAGTCAAATGACCGAGAGCGCTAGAATCAATGTGTAATCCTTGACGGCTTCCGCGATATCCATGCCGCTGCGGGATATTTGGAAGCCATGTCGGCGCCGTCTTGTATGAACAGCCTCGCCTGTATTGGCAAACGCAGATCCGGCCAGAAGAAAGTCAGCCGGTGCAGAAGACACACAGCCAAGCCTAGTAGCCTGATTTAGTACATACCCTGAGGATTGGATCGGCAGACTATGCCGTGGATACCTTCGCAAGAGCATGCTGCAATACCATCCTTGAGGTTCCTTTTTGAGTAATAGAAGGATGATGGCGGAGTCAAGTTGCTGTAGAAAAACCACGTGTAGCGGCTTCTCCCGCCCGCGTTGTCATGTCCTGCTGGTGAATAGGATGACAATGTGTGCTCGTCGCCCGTCGAACTTCGGGTGAATCTGGAAGCGAACCCGAGATCAATTTCGGCGAGCTCGAATCTCTTGCGTGCGTGGCCGAGGTCCGGGCGTCTTTGGCTTTAGCTGCAAAAGGTGCTGCGTACACTCAACGAAGTCGCTAGCTTAAGTTCAGGAGGGGGGCGACAAATCTGGACACAGCTGCGCAGTTGGTTGGCCGAGCCCAAGGTATTCTGACAGATAAGGATGAATAGTTACGCCGTTTGCGCCGTCTCGAACGAACATATGTGATCGCCCAGGAGACAGTTGCTTGTTCGCGAAGTACAGCATAAAGTGCGAATTGGAGTCATGCGCACATGATGAGACTTCTCTACAGATGAGGTGAGAGGACAGGTACGCGCGCAAACAGGAAATCAAAAAAGCAGAACTTGAAGTGACGTAGGGGGCGGAGATGCTGTATGAGGGTTAACTGTAAGCAGGCTCACTGGGAGCTGAATATACAATTGACAGGTGGAACGCACAGCGAATCGCATGCATTATGGCCATATTCCGACTATGACGTATTCGTCTTTGTTTCGTAAAGTATACCATGTGGTTTGTGATCGAAGTGCACCATGCAGTTGAGTGCACAAGCGAACGATGATACAACAAGTCCATATACAGGGTGGAAGAGTTTCCTATACGTAGGAAGGACACCAGTCGCAGCGCACGAATAGAATGCGCAGGGTACTATTTAGGTGGTCGAACAAGAGAGGAATCGACGTGTCGAGAGATTCCCAGGTCCTGAATGAACCATCAACACCGACCCCGACTTGAATGTATGAGAACACGCACCGTCAGGTTTGCAGCAATCACCACAGATTCGCGACCTTAGCTATCTCATATTCCACTTCAAGCTCAACGCGATAGTCTGGAAAAATGCCAGTGAACAAGTCGCACCACTCCGTGTAATTGGGGTACATGAAGTACAGAGCAGTTGTGTACTCCCAGTATTCGGGCATCCAACTGGCACACTCCCAATCGACGAGAGCGACAGGTCGCATATCTTCATCAATCAGTATGTTCGTAGGGTTGATATCGCCGTGTGTGAAGTATATGCGATGTGACTTCGAGTGACTTGCAGCAGCTAACTCCGTATGCGTCGCCTCGTTGTACTGCAGCAGCCTCTTGTTGAATTCCATCTCTGAGGCGAAGGGCCCCACGTAGCGATCATAGCTGATGCGGAAGCTTCTGACGCCATTACCGCCGAAGCCGCACACCGCGTGCGGGTCCGGAGGCACGAGAGCTCTGAGCTGGTCGAACCAGTCGCGTAGCGTGTCCTGGAGAACTTGGAGCTGACGAGGCGAGAGGCTGCTGATGTGCCCTGCGCGCTTCTCTAGCTGCTCACCAGGTGCCTTCGTCATCAGTACGTAGAACCGGTCATGGAAAGGGACGACGTCGAGAACTTTAGGGACAGGGATTGTCGTGTGCTGGCGTACATATTCGGTGGCTAGGGCTTCTTGTCGAGTAGTTTTCTTCAGATATAGGCCGAATGGCAAGGGCATGACGCGTGCCATAGGGTGCCCATGGCCTCGTCGGAGCAAGAAGCCCCATACGATTGCATATATCCTTGAACGCAGACGTTGCACAAGAGGGAGTTGTATTAGGGACCTCACGCAGCTGAGGTTGAGGGAACGAGTCAATAATAGGGATCCAATACCGAATCCGTCAAGACCTACTTCATCATTCAAGATATCGAACTTGGGTACGAACTTCACCTCGAAAACGATCTCGGACAGGCAAGCAAGATGGCAGCGACTCTGTCGTGCGACGAGATTGGGTCAGCGGCAGAAAGTGGTCACTTGATGATTGCGGCGCAGATCATCCACTCAAGACGTTATTATTTGGTATAAAGGTTTCTACGAGAAAGGTAAATGTCGGCAATGCTTCGGCTTGAAGCACGCGGCGATTGCCGAGAGCGCTCACAAGCGTGCAGTTGGACGCCTAGTCGGTCCCATTTCCCATAGATCATGCATAGCCTGGCACATCGATTTCTCACTGCGAGTCACTCTTATCTCCATGTCACACGATTCCCGAAAGGGTTCATGCAGCATTTAAATTACAAAGCTGCCGCTCAGACCGAGCTGAAGATGTTCGCAGCTGGATTAGGCGTCCTCGCGCAAGGGAGGCGTGTCGCTAGTTGAGAAGCAGACGAGCGTCATGAGCCTCAGTAGCATGAGATGCGAGCCAGAAGCACACGCGGCCGCGGAGACACCTGCGGTGGAGTCAATTTGAGTCATTCAATGCATCGGGCTATACTTTGCGGTCAAATGATCTGATACCCCAGCATATGACACGGTGAGTTTCACTTCATGTCAGGATGAGACTCCAGTCATATGCATACGCATCACCGCCGCACTTTGGTGACATTTCAATGAGTGTCATCATTCGATATATCTGAAAGCTAAAATCACAGTAGCCCTATATGGTGCTCGGTGCCATCACCAAGATAGGCACGTAGAACAGGCGGCATGCTTTTGATAACTGATGTTTCTCTGCTACAACAGCGGACTCTGACCTGGACCCTATCGGATGAACAAGATCCCCCATGATACCGTACAATACGGCCGTCAGTGATATGTGTGACATTACCCGCAATTCCGGACATTTTACGGCAAGCACTCCGCTGTGAAGATCCTCTGGTGAGAAATTGTATCTGATTTTACCGCACATCCCAATACGATAGACGCTACAGGGTCAAGGCTTCTGGCCGCCGAAGGTCGAGAAGAGATCATTCATCAAGAGCATGGCTGGTGCGGATACGTACGCATGCATGCTAGACGTTCCGTGACAAACAAGACCACCGGCATGGTTGAGGCTCCTACATATAAAACAAGACTCTCGGCCAAAATGGAGTCGCAGCCAACCTCCTCGCAACCCACTGCGTGCATCCTGTCGACAAGAACTAAGGTGCGCACGACCTTAGCGTTCAGCACTTCGGGGCTTAATTGATGACTCCGCCCATATAGTACCATGTCCGAACCAGTCCTCGACAACGAGGCCATTGTTGCCGCACTTTTCACGCGTTTAGACGGGACCTTCCACTGGATGCTCGCGCTTCCTGGCGCTGGTCTAAATGGCAATGCCATGCGACTCCACGTCATCAATCCTGAACAAATTTGGCAATTCGATGACAGCAGCCAGGATCTCATGCACTCCCATAGGCTGTGCACGGTCGTGAAGATCGGTCAGTACTCATATCGCGCGCTGCAAGGACGTTTTGACCGATTCCAGATCACGTTTAGGTTCTCGTCGGACACGCGAACAGACCTTCACCCCTGCAGAGGTCCGCAATCTTCTGGCGATGATTGAATTGGCGACTCCTGTTTTTGAGCTTGCCCGCGGGGTGCAGAACTTTACCTGTCGCGTGTGGTTTAGACAGGCCGTACGTGTCTTGATTGAGAAGCACATGGTTTACTGCCCGCGCATAAAGGATTTAGAGGATGAGCTCTTGCGGCTCGCGACCCCTAATGCTCAGCGCGTGTTTGGCGGCACTCCCTCATGCACATACCAAGCTTCAAAGACTTGTTCTTGGACCAACAAACGTTTCCCTTCCCCTACTATTTAATTCCGCTTCTCGTACAATCCTCAGCATCCCCATGTACTGTGTATAAATAGTTGAAACAATTTTTCGCCAAGCGTCCACTCCGTCTGGCAATGACGGATTATGCAAAATCCCGCAATGGAGTACGGCCCAGACTTTGTGGCATGTTACCGCCGGACTGCCGACGCTTTACGGTGCTCGCTCGAAATGACTGATTGTCATGACTTACACTGCAACAAAACAGCGTGAAGTTAAGCCTCGATAACTATAAATCTAGCGACAACCACAATGATGCGAATCCTTAGCCGCCGAAGGATTATTGAGCCAAACTCAAGTTTGGACTGTATACCACTTCGTGTGTGAGCGGTCACGTATGCTTTAGGGAGGGAAGCCGGCCAGAAGATCCGCGCCAGAGGACAAACACATAGCCGAGCCCGGTATCCTGCCACATACCCAATAGATGGATCACGCGATGATATCTTCTCATGAACACGAGGCCTGGCGCCCTTTCCCTGAGTGGGACGGCGTCCGGCAATACCAGATTAATGTGGCTGGTGATAGAAGAGAACCAGATATTTTCCCTCTCCGACGTGTGCAGGATCCATAATCCGGGACACATTGCAGGACAGCAGCGAGTGGCGAGCATCTACACGGCAGCATTCACCACTCATAAAGGTATTTGCGCAATTGCCTACGAAGCGATTGAGATGGCGCATAAAGTTCGGGCGTTGCGGCAGGTGGCTCAATGTGCCGATTGACACTGATGTGCGAACAAAGGTTGGCTTATTGTAAACTGACGAGCCACTGGAGGAAGCGCACTACACGCGAAAGCTTCTGACTCTGAGACTGAAAGGATGGGCGACGCACGGAACTGTCCAGAAACGTAGTAGCGAAATCATCCATCCACATATTTCATCTTTGTATAAACAGCTTCCGCCGGGTCCAGCCCTCGCCAGTTCATTATGTGGCTGACTAATTGTCAGTTACCATGTGTTCCACTGGATATCTCATCGTGAGTCGATCGGACGGGGCTCTGAATTCTGGTTCCGTGCCGGGATAACCGATCAAAACGCGATTTCCCGTAGCGCTGGCAGGTGTGGCGTACTGGCAACTAGTACGCGTAACGCAACCGTGCACGACGTGCAACCGACTGGGAACACGTAAATCGGGGCTCACTGGCAGCTGTGATAGATACGGGACGCCGGTGCTTTAGGTGCTTTTGCCACATAAGCCCCACGTGTGCGACGGTGATAGGAAACTCGTGTCTTTGGTAAAGCAGTCGTGATTCTACTTTTCATTTGCGGAGCTTACACTAGAGCGATGCTGGACTGTACAAAATAGTTGCATCACTTATATGAGTCAATATCATGCACGTCAATTGTAAATCGATGGTGTGCGCCGACGCTACAAGTATCAACTTGAAGCCTCGCTCACTTTGGCTAAGACCCGCTTGGGCACTGTGAGCGGCAAACATGGTTGCTTTCAGGTTCGTGCGACATATCCCGCAGACGAGCATGAGTAGCCTCATGCACGCGAAAGAAGATGACACACGGACGTAATGAGGTCCGTGTCTATCGTGTTCTAATGCAAGATATTTGTCCTGATGTCAAAACTTCCGAATATACATGCGTGAGGGGGCATCAAGTGCTGGCTGCGCAAGGAGGAGGAACCAGATGCCAGAAGTAAGGCTGCGATAGACGTGCATCAGCATCTTCTGCTTGAGGAATAATTAGAGCGATGGTCCGACAGGTCGAGTACAATGATATTATCAGCGGATAATCTCCGTTGGCGTCCGTAATGTCCACATAGAGCGGACTCTCTAGAAGCCATGATCTCATGCACTCAATTTGAATCTGCGCCGGATGACTGGATAGCCCCACCCAGACGTTTCCGGCGTCAAAAAGAAGATCGGCGGATGCAGAAGACGAACGGCCAAGCCTAGTAGCCTGTTATGAGTACATATCTGAGGACAAGGCCGGCAAACCACGCCGTGATCCCTCCGCATGAGCACACTGCAACCCCTTTCCTGAGATCTGTTCCTGAGGAATAGAAGGGTGATGACGGATTCAGCGCTGCTGTGGAGAAAAATACATACAATAGCTTCTGCCGCGTATATTTTCATGTCCTGCTGACGGAAGGATTCCGCATTTGAGTACGCGTGGTCGTCACCCGTGAAGCTCTAGCCGGATTCAAAGGCAAATCCGAGAATGCTACCGGCCAGATCGGACTTTTTGTGCAGGGAATCGAAGTTGAGGCGTGCGTCGCTTGAACTGTGGAAGGGCAAGGTATCGCCTAGACCCATCGATTTGAGTCTGTTGGTGAGAAATCTGGGCATACCATAATCGGATGAATACTTGCAGAGACAGAAGCGAGTAGTAACGCTGGTTA